TTATTACACATAATTCATATATTCTTATTCTAAATTTATACACTTTTTATTAATAAACATAAAACACGTGCAACGTACGTACACTAAAACTAGTTTAATAAAAAAGGTAAGATGAGAAAAAAAAAAGGTAACGACGCGACCGCACCAAATTAGTCGTCCATAAAGTGACATTTTTCATTGTTATGTAACGACAAATTTAACGATACGATACAATAAAATTTAAGTAACAATCAAAATAAATATTGTATTTAAAGTAACAATGCGATACAATACAACCGGTAACAACCATCCAAACAAGCTGTTACTCCCTCTTGTCCATTTTAGTTGATTTTTTGGATGTTTTCACACGTATTAAGGAATCCATCTTTAATATTAATTAACAATAAAATTGACTATATTAATCTTAATTTGTTCATTGGAAATATAACAAATACTCCTAGAAAAAGAAGTTAATTTCTTCTTGATATCTGAAGAGATCAAATATTATGAACCATAAAAAAGAGACCAAAAAAATAATTAAAGTGGACCGAAAGAATTAATATTATTTTTCTCCCTTTTTTTGGTGCACCGATGTTCTAGAAACCTAAAATCCACCTCTAATTACCACCTCTCCAATATTGAGTTATTTGTATTTTCATCTGTGTTGAAAAATATCTCATCAAAAAAGCTTCCAGATTTGTGAGATCTATGAAACCTTCTAGCTATGAGACTAGGGTCGGAATAAAAGAATCTTTCACATAAATCATAAATCATAAATATAACCATAGTTTGTTACTTTACGATTCATCATGTCTGTTATCATTTTGGCAGCACCAAAAAAATCTTGAAATTCCCAAATAATTGTTTTTTACCAAATGTAACAACCAACAACCATGGAAAAATATTTCAATTCTGAAAATAGTTACTCCTTCCGGTTTATAATAAGTGATTATTTTATTTTTTTATTTTGATCCAAAATAAGTGTTCATTTACGTAATTAAAAAGAATTTATTTTATTTTTTCAAAATTTATCTTTATTTACATATTTTAATGTGTCAAGGTAACAATTAATTAAGGTTAATATAGTGAATACATATATTTTTTTCTAGGAGTTCGTATTTCTTTAATGAGTATGCCAAAAATAAAATAGTAACTTATTTTAGACCGGAGGGAGTAGTAAATTACTAAATATTTGCTAAATAACTATGCACATGGGGTTAGAGCAAAGAATATTAAAAGGGTAAAATCTACTTTACTCCTTTACCTTTAAGGGTTGGGAAACAATACCCCTCACAATATAAATGGGAAAGGGAACCTCCTTATGCAATATTTTTTTGGTTGGATTTTTTTATTTAAAATATTTTTTCTCTCTCTCTCTATCCTTTCCAAGGTGAAGTATAATAATTTTCATCTAAATCAATACTTGAATTTTGTCTTTATTGCTTGTAAAATTTAAGATATTTTTCTATTATATTGAGGCCGTTGTTAAAAGTTTTGCAAATAAAGAAAAAAATCTTGCATACAAAATTCAAGAAATATGATGAACGCACATTCACCATGGTTACTTTAGCATTTCAATTTGAAGGGAAAAAATACATTGAAATAGTTAATTCTCTGACATACATATTAGATGAAAGAATTGGTGCTATGAATATTAATTTATTTATGTATTTTCTTTGTATATTAAAATTATTATACTAAATCAATTATTAAACTTTACTTATTTTGAAAATATCTTAATTGAACTAAAATTATAATTGATAATGTCACATTTAAAAATTCATTATGGAGGCATTTTTATGTTTTTCATTACATCATATCTTAAACTATACAAGAAGAAGGCTAAAGGGGAACTCTATAAATTATATAGATCCTAATTATTTTTCATATATTGAGATTTTGGCTATAATGAAAGAACTTGATTATTCTAAAAATTATCTATTCAAACAAGTAAAAAACATTATTAAAAAAATTATTTCACCGGAAAATTATTGCATAAGGGTTCTCTTTCCCATTCAAAATGGGAAGAAGGTATTGTTTCCCAACCCTAAAGGTTAAAGGGGGTAAAGTGGAGACTCATATTAAAATAACTACAAACTATTACTCAGCTAAATTCCACTGTAGTAATCCATAAATTTTTCTGTTCAGTTAATTCATAAGTAGAAATATCTATCAAAATTTCATTGCAGCAATAAGTATTACTACTAATATCAATAATAAAAAGCTAATCTATATTATATTAAAAGGAGGACAGTGAAACATGGGATTAAGTCAAGTGGCATACTAAAAAAAAGCCACTTGGCACTTCTAACAAAATCGAAATAGATTTGAGACAAATTTAATAAGGATTAAGATAAACTAAATTTGATCAAATTTAATTTACATGGTTATTGGATTTGTCTTTGACTAGATATCATTTGAATTTAGTTTCTAAGATTATGCACGTTTGAGTTATTATGTAAGGAAATAATAATTTATTTTTGGTTTACTAAAAGAAAAGTAATGACCCATATGATATCCTCATTAAATGCTACATTAATAATAATTGGGTTATATGTAAGGAAAAAAAGGAGTCAGTTTTGGTTTAGAAAGGGAGAACTTAAATTTAGTATTAGAATAATCATGAGTTTTGGAGTTTTGTGAATATAAGTAATATCTTGACAGGAATAAAATTATATGACACAAAATATGCATAATTTCCTTTAAAGTGAGGAAATCAAGGATGCATGACAGGGCTGATTAAGAAATATTTTTGGAAAATGAATAATCATACAATAATCACGAATCATATTTGGAAAAAAATATTGTGACCAAGAGTCGTTCCAAAATAAAAAACAATCAAGCTTTGAATTTATTCAAAAAATTTCTGCCAAAGGAAAGGTCATTAATGATTGAAGACACCCTTAACGATAGACTCTAAACACTAATAATGTCTGCTACTTTATAAATACTACCAAGAATACTATATTATTATTGGAATATAATCCTATAATACATTACAACTTCAACCTTTAAAGTATACATCATATACAAAAAACTAGGTTGAAGCCATTACTCCTTCAAAAAAATTATACGAAAACTAACCTCATCAATGATATATCCGATACAAAGATGCTATGGAATGTAAAGGTTCGTGTCGTGTGATTATGGATGGTTCCAGATCGCAAAAAGACATAATCCATTTTAATTGGAGATGATACTGTAGGATGAGAAGATATTTATGTTATACTGCTCAATTTATTTTCTGGAGTTTATGCAGTGAGAATACTTACAACGTAAATGCATATTCAAGAGTTACTGTACAAGAATGCTTGGGGATTTTTAAAATATCTCTATGGTAGAGGTTAACTTTTTTGGTTTATAAAAATATACAAGTTCATTGCTTGCACTATGCAAAGTTTTCATAATTTATTTAGATGCTTTACTTGATAAAATTGACATTTAAGTTTTTCTTCTAAATCTTTTCTGCTTTATACTGGCAGAGTCAAGAAAGGACAGCATCATACAATTAAAATAACAGCAAGATCAATACTATAAAAGAGAAGGAGATGATCTCTGCTTATTCCTTTGATTCTGCAAACATATGCTCACGGATAATACATTATTTTTTCTGGAGCCAATAAGATAATGAAAGTACCACTTAATTTTGTTGCTTTTTTGCATTGTATATATTAAGTTCAAGCACGAAGATAGTGGCACAACCAGCTTAAAGTACCACTTATATATTCTTTTGTTAAATCAAATCAACTCTAAACTTATCCAAACTTTTGAATGAAAAAAATAAATAGATCAAATCTTATTCAAGTTTTTAAATTTAAAAAGAAAACTCCAAATACGAAAAAAAAAGAGCCTTGAGATTTCGATGGAGTGTAAAGTATGAGCATATGCATATTTTTTTAATACCTATTATTGGATTAAATATTAGATGAAATAAGTATATAAGAATTCATAATAGGGGAAAATAATATAGAAAGACGGGGATGGTTATAGTGTGAGAGAATTTATACGTTAAATTGCTTTAAAAGATAAAATAAAATTAATAAATAAATTTAAACAATGAAATAATTTAGAGGAATAGTCATACAAGATAAATTTAAGTTAAATTTCAGTAGTAATTAATAGAAAACTATATTCATTGTATTATATTAAACTGGTAAGTTACTAAATATTCATATGACAATTTAATAATAGTAAGTAAGGAATAATATAATTAGATAATCAAAGAACAAAAAAAAGAGAATAAAATATAAATTTCATGGATAATATTAAAAATATAAAACTTATAATTAAATTATGATGAGAAAAATCATACATATATTGTGATATAGACATAACAGAAATCATAATAAATAAAAAGTCTAAAGGAATATTCCTATAAAAATTCCAAGTGATAGAGTAAAATTATATACTCCTTCCGTTTCAATTTATGTGAACTTATTTCCTTTTTGGTTTGTGCCAAAAAAAATGACCTCCTTCCTTATTTGGAAACAATTTACTTTTATGCAATGATTTATATTCACACAAAATATATGTGCCTTATTTTACACCACAAGTTCAAAAGTCTTATCTCTTTTTTTAAATTCCGTGCCCAGTCAAATAGGTTCACATAAATTGAAACGGAGGGAGTATATTAATTAAATTCTTATATAGAAAATTTTAAGTTAATAACTAGAACTCATAATTTCATAATATATATATATACTGTCATAAATGTTAATAACTATAACACATAATAATAATTAAAAATATTGGTAGATTTTCTTATAAAAAAGGTTATCTCTTTATAGTTTTGATGATTCAAAATTACAATTAAAAGGAATATTATATTATGGACACACGAAAAGTGGGGGATAAAGTTAATGTTTGGATATTTATACTATGAACTAATTAAAATTTATGCACAGTCACTCACTCAACTTTTATTTTATTACACTAAACTCACTGAAGTACCAAAAAGATATTTAACTTTGTCTAAGTATGTACAAAATAAAACGTATATTTATTGACTTATAATGTACAAATTACCAAAGCTCAGAAACTGTAATTTTATCCCTATTATAATATATATTTCCAGAAATATAAAAAAAAAAAGAAAAAGAAAATATAGAGCTAAAATACTTCCCAAACAAAAAAAAAAACTCTCACCAGTAACCACCACCATTACTCACACGCTCGCCGCCGTGAGAGACAAAGCCTTCACCGACGGCAACGGCGGAGAAGGCGGCGGCGGAGGGAGTCTAGAAGAGAAATTCCTCAAAGGGGCTTCATCATCCTCATACCCATCTTCAAAATTCAACGCGTAACTTAACGGGTCGTAACGGAACTCAGCGGAAGAGTGCCGTTTGTGTCGGTTCCCGTTACCATTACCGATGAAATTGAAGATTGTACGGCACTTGTCTTTGATATCAGGGAAGTCGTTCTTGATCCAAATTAGCGACGGGTTTTCATCGGAGGAGGGCGGAGGAGGCGGACGGTAGTCGAGGGAGTAGAGTTTGGTGGTGGGGGTAGTGGTGTTATTACGGTGGTGGTGGGGGAAACAGCACGAGAAACAGAGAGAGTTTTTGAGTTTTTGTTTGAAAGAGAGTGGTGATTTTGTGAATTCGTCGTCCTCCATTGGAATAGTAGAGAGTGTAGAACTTGTGATTTGTGAGGAAAAGGGTGCGGAGTATTGTATAGGGCTTCAGTTTGATTTATTTCTATGGGGATTTATTTTCACTATATTCCCTTTCCCAAATTTGTACCCTCTTATTTCGGAAATACAATAGTTCTTTAGACTAACAACCAAATTAAAGTGAGTTGCAATTACACATAAATACAATTCACACACATACATTCTAATTAGCTAGCCTATATTCAATTCTGCAAAGTTATAGTCCAAAAATAATAGGTTAAGATTGAACATCCAATTTCAAATAAGTTCTCTAATCATCATTCAATTTTTTTTTAAAAAAAATACTCTAACTTTTAATCCAATCTTTAAATCAGTAATTGTGACTCAAACACTAGTTCAACGAACTAATAAATGGTGGTGAAAATTAGATTTTTAAGGTAATTCACCAGTGTTGAACAAGCTTAAATTTCGAATATGGTTTGTTGAAAAATTTAGAGTGGGTGTTGCCTAGACTTGTTAAAGTATGAGGAAGTCGTATACAAAATTTAAAGTCGTTTTATAGATATTTGTACTGGTTTTGAACAAAAATTGCAACTGAAAACCGTGAAAAAATTCGTTTACAACGGCTTGTATAGAGGTGTATAACAGTGTATAATAGCGTATAAGATGTGTTTATAGACCCATATATACTGTGGTAAAACATTATACATTATTATACAAAAACTTACGTCATTTTCTTCCTTGATTCCCTTTTGTAATCTAACTCAAACTTAGTTCAAATCTACTCCAAATCACTTCAAATTTAAGTTTTAAACTGCTCTTGATTTTTTCAATCTATTAGACAACACCAAATAAAAACACCGGAAAAAAAAAGAAGTAAAACATTAAAACCATTTTCAAAAATTTTAACAACAAGTGTGTGGCCGATGGCGGGATTTCTCACCAATCATGACAAACATAGAATGTTATTAGTGTAACAACAACTTAATTATTCATAAGTTAAATGTACTATTCATAGACAATGATTTAGAACTTTGCTCGATTTAATTGAAAAGATGATTATAGAGATAGCCATAACATATAAATATGGTAGTGTCTAGTGTTAATACTATAACGACATACCCATATTTTTCTGTATCATTTCGATTTTCAAATATGATTGGGTAATTGAGGCTACAATGTTTGCATGATTATAAGGTCAGCAATTGATGAACGATGCATTAAAGTTTGTTATTTATATGGAGGAAAAGAAGAAAGAAAAAAAAAAGAACATTGGAAATAGGTCTTTAATGTTAGGTTAAGTGAGAAAAAAAGAATTTCAAATCATATACAAAATGAGTTAAATTGGGTAAGAAGCTAGAATATGGGCTAATTTTGGTGATATTATTACTCCAACTGATAGAGAGAATAATTTAATCTTAAAGTAATAATATATGTCACTTAATGGGATCCGAAACCAAAATGTGATTCTTTTGACTCAAAGAATCAAAATGTCTAGAAAAAAATATGGTAACCAATTTATGTATAGCGTCTTTTAAAAAGACGTTATATTTGAATTTAATAAAGCGGGAAATGATAGCGTTCTTTATTAAGACGCTATATGTATAAAGTCTTAATAAAAGACGCTATACATATATAAATGTCTTCTTCCCCACAGAATCAATAGAATCGTCACCTCCCCNTGTAGATTCTCGGTCCCACGTGCTAGTTAGGGCGTTATCTCTGAGTGTGTTGCTTGTTTCGGCTCCAAATCATCAAATTTTCAAATTTCTAAAAACTTTAAATCGAGGTATTCCGACTTAGTTTTTGTTAAAACTCGTATAAAAAATGCATATTAGTTGTTTTTTACGTTCTCTATATTATTTGGTGATTGTTTTGCGATTTAACTAATTTATTATTTTTTATCCGGATTATATTATTAGTGTGCTAAAAAAATAGTAAAATAGAGAAATTGTTATTAGTTGTTAAAAAATGTTAATTAGTTACTTTTTACAGTGATATATGTATTTTCATGATTGTTTTGTGATTAAATTGGTTTGTTATTTTTATCCGGTTTAGATTATTTATTTGCTAAATGACTAGTAAACTAGATAAATTATTACTTTAGTTCCCTATAGTGGTATCTTGTGGCCTAGTGTAGTGCTCGTATTGTAATGTAGTGCCCTTTTAGTGTAGTAAAACGTAGTGGCCTTTAGCATAGTATTCTTGTAGTTATAGAAATTAATCATTTAAGTATCTCTTATACCCAAAAATACGTCAAAAAATTGATAGTTCAAACACAAACTATCTCCAATTGTAGTCAACAAACGTAAGAAAATAACACGAGGAAACAACAATATTTGTTAAATTAAGTATTGTTATATGAATATTAAATAATTAAATCGTGTATAGTTATGAAAAATAATTATTTAATTTTATTATAGTAAAAAATAAGTCAGTGATAAACAAACATATAAAATAATAAACTAACATATACAATAATAAATTAACATATAAAATAACAGACCGGTTGAGTGATAAATCGGAAAAATTTTCTCATCATAAATATAAAAATTCAGGATACCTTGCTGTTACTGGGCCTCAAATATTGTGTCCGAAATCAAAATGTGAATATTTAATAATTAAATCTTGTATAGTTATGAAAATTAATTATTTAATTTTATTATAGTTAGAAATAGGTGAATAACAAACAACATATAAAATAATAAAAGTAATATATAAAATAATAAAACTAACATGTTAAAGTAAGATATAAAATATGAAATTATAATATTGAAAATGTATCAATCTAATTAACAATATAGTAAAAATATCGAAAAAAATTTAATATTAAAGGTATTGCAATATATTTAAGCAGTGAAAAAGAAAAATAATATAATTAATTTTGTTCAATTTACAGTAATCGTCATGGAGGTTGCGCCTTCGCATCCCGGACCTGCCTCGCTAGAGCTACTATTGCTACAGGCCGAGCATAGGTCTTCCTACATATGGGAGTGGCAGTTATCGGCCCAGACATTCCGTGCTAGAAGAGTAGACGATATATGGGACTTTCTTAAGACTCGCCATCTCAGTCCCTGTATAGTCAGACGCCTGCAGGATACGAGTTTCTATAGGATTATTGAGATTGGATGGTTGCAGCTAAATTGGTCGCTGATCACGACTTTGATAGAGTGGTGGAGACCATAGACGCAGACATTCCATTTGCTCATTGGCGATGCTACTATCACGCTGCATGACGTGGAAGTTCTGTATGGGCTGCCGGTTGATGGACTTCCTATTGCTTTGCCGCATGCCATGAGAGAGTATACGAGAGATTAGTACCTAGAGACATTGCAGCAGCTCACCGATTTTCGGCCAGCGGATGAGGGTGCATTAGTTGGGGCTAGTCATCTTGCATTGACGCCCGTGTGACTGCATTTGGAGGCAATGCATGCTGACATTACGGATGATACACCGGATCTTCATATTAACTGGTACACGAGGTTGTTGCTGCTGCTTATGTTTGGAAGGGTATTGTTCCCGAACACTTCGGGAAACCTAGTCAACTTGAGATTTCTTCATCATCTTGAGCGGCTAGATGATTTACATGATTACAGCTGGGATGCTGCTGTTCTTGGTACTTGTACAGGCAGATGTGCTGGGCATGCATGGGCACCCAACGAGACGTTGCAAGATTTATGTCGCTATTACAGGTAAAAACATAGTCAAATACTCTCTTCATTATAAGATACATCATTAAAATATACCTTAAATTTTACGTCCAAATTGTATATTAGGTTTGAGCCTGAGAGCGGTTCCTGCAGTTCCATTCACCTCTACCACCCATAGCTCAGGATGCACCACCTCCACTGTTTCTCCCTTTAGCTAGGAGGTGGGTTGATAGGCGAGGATACAGACGTGAGTACAAGGCTCGACATAATTTCCCTATTGCAGGGATTTGTTGGATTTGCTGGAGGCCGCGCAGGTAATTCTATACTTAAGTTTACTTGGCCTGGATTTATATGTGTTGCGTATACTCACAATTCCCGTTTTTACGTAATAGTTCATTTGAGGCCATATAGTGACGAGATAATAGTTGGTTTGCCCGATTATTGCTCGACCGGACGACTTTGTAGAGCTCTTCCATCCCGTTGGTGTGTCTCGATATTGTCGAGCATCATGCCACTGAACGAGTCCTTCGCCAGTTTGGTCGACCGCAGCTTGTACCTCCACCGCCGGCTTGGCTTAAGACACATTACCAGCGGGATGATCGTTTGAGGGTTGACCAGGCATATGAGGCATGGCTAGAGTTGCAGATCGAGAGTTGGGACCAGCGACATGACCTAATTCCACCACCCTCTCCACTAGAGCATATGGATGGCAAGCTTGAGTATATCGGCTGGTACCGCATTATTACGCAACTTATCATCAAGAATCCCGTTCATCGAGCTGGAGGTCGGTTCGTTCCATACGCCGGGAGGCATGAGGTGCCGGTATGTTATTTGGTATACTTAGTTATAACGTTAACCTTACCGTTCCGTAATTAATATTTTACATGTTGTGTAGGTTATTGGCCTACATCTGTTCCACCAGTTGGGACTGCAGATGCAGCAACATACCGGTGAGGGAGCGGCTGCTTTGCATGAGTATGACCGACAAGTTATAGATTTGGCTGCCCAGACATTGCAATAAGCCCGAGATGATGAGCGCTTAGGACACGAAGCTAATTATATGGTGCCAGAGCAGTACCTGTCACACCTCTTTTTTCCGCCCCCACGAGGGTACAAGGAGTTTTTCCAATTAAAGGACAATCGAAACGAGATTTGTTTATTTATTTCA